CTTTCCCTTCCTGTGCCACAGGCTGCATCCCTGAACTTTCATCTCTGCATCCCCCAGGCTCTGCCTGACAGCCCTTGCTGGAGGTCCAACATCCCCAGCGAAGGCAGGAGGAGGCACAGCGCTAGAGGCTGACAGCAGGAGACCTAAATTGCTGGGCTTTCTTTCTTCCCTTCTTTCTGTTTTTTGAGAGAGGCCCACTAGAGAGGCGAGGGGAGGGAGGAAAAGGGGTTTAATTTTCTCCTGTTATCTGGTGTCTCCAGCTGTGAACCACACTGACAGCCCTGGGCTGATCAAACACACAAGCAGCCTCGATTCAGCGTCCCATCTACGTGGTCATAAATAATGTAAGTGCTCTGCCCCTGCCTGAGCCCATATCCTGGCAGCAATGCACCAGCACGTTCCTTCCTCCATCTGCCATCATGTTGGGCTCCTGCCTTCATTGCTTGTGACACAGAGTCATTAGGCATTAGTAGTTGGCATCGGCACCTAATGACACAATCATGTGCAAACGTGTTCTTCCTCCAAGCAGGATTTTTTTCAGCCAGAAATTCTGGTTCTCTCCCTCCCATTGAGATGGAGTCCCTCTGACCCCTCTGCCAGGTTTGTTTCTATTTCTCATGCACTTTGTGAGACCAAAAGGTTCCAGATATGGCAACTGAGCACCTCTTTGGAGTGAAATACAATGCACTCTACTTAAAATAAAGGATAAAAGTTTACCAAAGGCACTGAGAGCTTCTCAGCTGCCTTCCAGCCAAGGGTCTTGACATGGTTTTTACAAGTTAAAGTGTCCCTGTTTAATAACTTGAGCGGTTAAAGCAGAGCTATGCTAAATGCCAGGCTTTGAAGCTTGTATGAGGTGGGTGGCAGAGGTGGTGGGTAGAAGCCATGCATGTTAGGGACAGGCCTCCTTCCTTGGTGCCACAGCGACAGGGCTGGTCTCTGCTTTGCTGGGGAGGTGCTGTGCAGCCCAGCTGGTGAGCACACAGCCCTTCCAGCTGCAAAACAGCACAGGGGCTCATCTGGGCATGACAAGGCTGAGAGCCGGGGCCCCCAGGGCTGGATTCCTCTGAGTGGTGGCTTAATGCTTCTTCTTTTCTTTCCAGTTTCTTCAACTGCAGGAGGTGGCAAGAAACCAAGCAGGTGTGGGTTGGTTTGGGTGAACAGACCCCAAAAATACAAGATGATCTTGTCTGAGCAGTGCTTTTATATATGTGGCAGCATCATTACCTGCACCAGCTAAGGGGAGAGAGCGCTGCTCCAGCTCTCCACATCCCAGCAAACTTCTCGCCGAGCTCCCTGCAGGATTTGCTACTCCCATTGCCATTGATTGGTTCAGGCATGTTTAATCCCAAGGGCACTTCGGGGTTTAGCTCTTTGCATCTCGCAGGCCAGCGCTTGGAGATAAGTCACTGTAATTTGCAAAGCTTGTGGTGGCGGCGAGGCTTGTGGTTACTCTGAGCCTTGATGGAAATGGTTTGGACACCGGTGGGCTGGTCCTCTTGTCTGTTTTCATGTCAGCATTTGGAAGGACCGCGGCGGCAATTTCTGGGGTGGAGATGCCCGGGGAGTTAGCGTGCACCTTCTGGTCCCTCCCGACTTGTAATTACTGGGACTTGGTAACTCCCCTTGCAGCTCTACATTAGAAAAGCACTTAAGGGCATATAGCCA